TGGTAATCATACCAGGAGGCATGACAGGGTGTCGTAGCCACTCGACGTCTTAAATAGTTGGCCATTTAAAACATTCATTTTTATCAAGAATTGTGGCTTACACACATGCAAATACGGTAATTCCATATTATGGAAGAATTACAGGAGAAATGCATAATTTGCCTTATTCTGAAACCAGAATAGTGATCTTTCTGAGGGGCCATGTATGTCATAGCATTTACTGTATCACAAGTCACCACATTTATACTGATCAGTACTGTAATAGTGTGGATTTGGCTAAGGAGCTGGACAAAACACGTCAGGGAACCCCTTAATCACTAAGTACTCATTTATTGAAGTGTGAGTAACCTTCTGCACCCTTGCTATGTGAACGTTGCCTGTTAAGGTATCTAAATCCCCCTGTGCATCCTGACTGGATAAAATTCTGATGACATGACTGGAAAGTGTTAAAAGGGAGAGATTATGGGAGGATAATATAATGGATCTTCAGTGGATTAGATCGTTAGGATGTGAACTCAATTTGAATGGCTGACAATAAGTCCAATGATGGGCTCTTGTGAACTTGTAATAAACCTTTTCATTCCTTAAAAGTTGGGTAATTTCTTGACAAGCTGAAATACTGTTAGTTTCCCAAGATGGATTCTGCTTTGTTGAGCAAGTTACTTAGGAGGTATTTATGTGTGCTGGAAAATTTTGATTGCAGGCCGGCCAGCACCAGAGTTTTGGTTCAAGCCCAGCTACTTCTTTTAATCTAGCCTCACCTCCATCCTTACCTCCTAATATAAACCCATCTCCCAATATGTTACCACACCCATCTCCTGGAGGACTCCTAGCAAACTCGCCATCAAACCCTTTACATGTGCCAAGTCCAGCTGGACTCATGCCAACGTCATCTCCTGGGCCCTGCCCCACTGTGCCAGTGGGTCACTCTCCAGCTAGTTCTTTCATGGGACAGACAGGTGTGAAAATGATTATGCATGTGCTGTCAAATGTGATGATGGTTCCAGTTGCATATTCTATTCATATTTCTTTTTTAAAGGTGTTTGGTTCAGTCAAGAAAGATCAGAAACTTACTTTCAGAACCATTTGTTGAATGTATTGAAAAATGTTCTATTTGATATTTTGAGTACTGGGGAAGAAGGAATGAAGTTAAACATGTCATATTACAGTTTCTTATGCCTTCTGTCAAATGTTAACGTATAAGTCTGTAGTAAGATACAGCCCTGGAATTGTGGTTCAAAGACAGAGGAAAGAACATCTGAATGCAATTTTGGGTTCACGGTTCAAATTGATGGTTAAAACGGCAAATGGTGCACGTCCTCTATTTTTGTTGGAAAGGGTAGATGTTGCTACGGGTCCTGAACTGCTATCTATCGAACACAGGCGTGTGCGGTCTGTAATCCGACTTTTGATATGGTCCACTGTTTAACTTTTGAGCTAATAATAAATACATATATTTATTTTGGCCGTCTATACACAAACTTATTAAAATGAGTTGTTAAAATATTATAACATTCACAATATAAATATAAAATATATAAAATATGTTATGTTATGTTTTGATGCTCTTATTATCGTATTTCGATATTACATTCTTGGCATCTTCATATTAGAAACGACATGTTTCGATGTACTAAGACATCATCTTCAGGTTATCAATTCTATTAATTTTATAAACTATTATATACTAAGCTGCGTTGCATTTATTGATTTTATGCGTTTGTGAATCCATCTATCTTCATGATTGATCTGGTTTAACAACTCATTTTAATAAGTTTGTGTATAGATGGCCAAAATAAATATATGTATTGAAATCAACACAAACATGACACAATTGAGATACAAATCTAATAATTAATGTTTGTTGACGTGGGTAATCTCATTTCTGAAGTTGGTGGGCGCTGTTCATTTCTAGAAAGCACTTTTGCGTTGTACCGCAACACACCATGTTTACATGTTGTTGCATATTTTTTATGGAGGTTTTATGGACATATTGATGAAAGAGCAGTTTAAAACCAAGAATTCAGTTTTCTCATTCTGTTTTATAACAGCTGTAATATGTATGTCTTACAGTTTTAATTATTTGATCTGATGTATGTACTATGCATTGACCTAATCTCCTAGTTTTCTACGTGGAAACAGCAGAGTGGTAACATAGTTACGGAATTAATCATTTGTCATTTTTCTGAATTTTGACATTAACTAACACCTTTTTCCATTTGAAATATACTGGTAATAGTGCCGGTTATTTATATGATAGTAAATGAATGGTTTTGAAAGTAAGATGCCACAGTTATTTTCTTTGTTGTGTATAAAACAAGATAGTATGCATGTTGTCATAATATTATTTAACCAAAGATCTGTAAATATATTTCTTTCTTAATCTTTGAAAGCGCTAAAATGTGATATATTTTAATAATCTTACACTACTGTTGCAGAATGAATTTGTGTTGGGTGGTGGCTTAATATGCAATGTTTTTTAATTTATCAGATGATGATAATGCTAACATGAATCTAGGGATTGCGAGGTTATGAATGGTTGAAGTCACTTCAGATTAATGAACTTAATAAGAATTCATTAAATGGCCTGAAAGTTTGGCCCTCAGTTTTGAAGTTCAGTTATGTGATTTTTACCTGGCCCAGGGCATACAGATGGCAGCCCATTTCCTTCGTCCCAGAGCATGGCCTCCCCTGCCACGTCTAATTGGCCCGGTTCTCCCAGCATGCCTCGCCCTTCGCCAGCCCGTCCAGGGCAGTCACCTGGGGGTACAGGGCATTCGGCCCTACACAGCCCACAGGCCGATCATAAGCCAGGTTAGTTAACAATAATAACGTGACTTATTCCGTTCATTCCTAGAGCATGAAACCTGCATTTAGGATATACAGAACTTTGGTTGGTGGTTAATAATACACAAAAATCAATTACTTCCTCTTCTGCTTGTTCTATGTAGTTGGAGATACAGTTATATGTAGAATAACATTGCCTAGTTTAACATTTCTCGTCTCATTGGAAACATTTTTGACGTAAATACGTCTATATTTTAGGGCCAGTGTCATTCCGCAAAAATGTGTTACGAAAAAGGGAAACGAAAAAGTGTAACTTCATTGTTATGTTACCTAGGAAACGTCAAACAATGAAGTTTGACGTTTCCTAGGTAACATAACAATGAAGTTACACTTTTTCGTTACATTTTTAAGCAATGTCTTAATCAAACTTTACTCAATTGTAAAGCAGGTATGACGTATTTACGTCAAATTATCCGGAACCATGGTTCCACTGACAACTTTTATGGTACCTATCGTAATTCCATATATTTCTGATATGATTTATCTTTTTTATGTTTCCCCACAAAGAGATAAGATTCTCAAATTCTTTTTCACTTTTTTTCTTTCAGTTTCTTTTTATTTATGTATTTATTTATAGTTTATTTAATGATGCTGCTGATAGGTCACACAACACCGTGTTGAATGATAAGATTGCCAGTGAATTATTGACTTGGAAAGAATGTTCAGTCCTGGCCTAATTTGATGTACTGTCCTACCATTTGCCTGGAGGAAAAGCAGAACCGTGAAAATATCAATGACGTTAGCTGGTCTCCATGATGAGATGCTAACCGCTAACCACTTACTTGTGGCATTCAGTTTATGTTGTTTTCTGTTAAGAAATTAAATAAATGTAATTATGCAATTGGATTGTATTTGAACAACTACTCGTACATTTATTTTAAATCTAAGTGGTGATTTGAATGCCATGTCAGATGTTGAATTGATATTGACATCTTGTTTAGCACAAACTGCTGCTAATTACAGTCACTTGGACTATAGTAATTGTGGAACATATCAGTTTAAGAAATGGCCATGATATATTGCTTTATTTTTTACTAGACAGAAACACTTTGTCCTTCAAATGTTTGTAGTTTTAATATTTTAGTGGGGCTGCACTTTAGTACAGAGCTTGCTGCGGTGTGAATCTGTCTTACAATGCACAATTTAACTACTGGCTTTGTGCTTTCAGACAGCGATAATATAGTGAGATTTCAGGTTCTCATGGCAGTAAGTATGAAGATGGCTGTCTTAAGGGTTGTTGCACCTTGTAGTCTGGTAGAAGTTTACTGACATTTCAGAGGTGTTTGCTCCCTCCATTGCCATGATGATGGAGGCAGCAAGTACTTCTGAAATGTCAGGAAATTACTACTGGGAAACATGGCACAAGAATCCGATAATGCAGTTTTCTAACGTGGAAACCGTGGACCACAATATCATCTCGCAGTATTTGCTCTGATGTGTAGACTCTTACAGATTTTACAGTGTGTGAGCTTAAGTTGCGTTTGCCATGAATATAGTGACTGTGTATATTTGTGATGGCATGTTCTGGTGAAATCAGTATTACAAGTACAGCAAGGCGTTTGAACATTTCGTGATGTGTTTTCTTATGTTGTGTACAAATTTAATTCAGATTTTCATTTTGCCAGCCCCCAGATGTATGTCGCCTGTTCACTGTTGCTATTTAGAAACCAATTGTAGTGCACGTGCATGAGAAAGCATATATAAAAACAGCTCCTAGCACTAATAAGGGATATAGAGCAAAGTGCCCAAAAGTATTATTTGTACATACTGCATTTAATGTTTGAATACTTAACTTCTTATGTATTAGGTGATGACATGTTACTGCAGGTTCTGTCCATGCTGATTGTAATAGTTGCTGAAAGTGGTGTTCTCCACCATTCAAGAATATTATTTCACACTGACGTAGCTGATTCTGCAGCACATTGAAGTTTACCTTCCATGATTTCTAGAATAACATTTTGAAATCCATTCAATAGTCTCAAGTCTGTGGATTATTTCTGTGGGATTTCTGTTTCACTTTTTTCACACGTGTAGTATTTGATTTGTACCTATTTCAAAACTAAGAGTAAAATAATGACTTAAATGGAAATTATATACGAGGCTCGTCCACAAAGTAAGTTTCCCTGGGGCCGTTTACAGAAACAAAACACAATTTCATGGAAATATTTATTGCAACAGATACAGCAAGTGTCCAGCTATTTTTCAACATATTCGCCACCGGAATCGAGACATTTGTCATACCGTGGGACCAACTTTGGAATCCCTGTCAGGAGACTTGCTGTCCGTCGAGCCGTGTGCGGCCTAGCGTTATCACTGACCGCACTTCACAGTCGGCGGGAGCTGGAATAAGAACCTCCATCTTCAACAGCTGCAACGATGCTACTGTGAGAACGCGGGAAGTTCCGTTAGTGCATGCGCCATGCTATGTCATTGCTCTATCACGTACGCACAGTCGCTTCGCGCAATATAAGGTTTGCTAGCTGTGGGACAAGTGGGAAACTTACTTTGTGGACGCGCCTCGTAGCTGAGGAGGTTGAACACTCTCTTGTAATGTAGGATTTGAGGTTCTGACATTGAAGATTGCTGTCTTCTGGGTTGTAGCACTGTGTAGTCTGGTAGAAGTCTATGAATATTTCAGAGGTCTTTGTTTCCTCCATCATCTTCTGAAACATTGGTAAACTTCTGCACATGGTGCTACTACCCAGAAGACAGCCATCTTAGTTCCTCATAATATTGTATCTGTCCATTCAGGTGTAAGTCATCTCTCGCGAGTGCTTCCTCAAAGATCTTGGGCAGGAGCAGTACCAACATTGTTGACCCACGAGGCCCTGGATCTGTTGTGCTCCCCCTCACCCCACCCACAACATCTTCCAGGTCCGGAACTCTCTCCACTGGAGAGATTTCTGGGTTGTGTTTACATGCGTCGCCAGCTACAGAGGTTTATACAGAATGATGATTGTGTACGTATACCAGTATTGTTATCAGACTTTTCTACGCTGTGGCCTTTGATCATAAATTCTGAAGAATAATTTTGTTGGTTAGTAAAGTGCTTGATAATACAAGTTAATATTTAGAAAAGTGTGCAAAATTATAATTTTCTTCCATCAGCTGACTGGTATTCCAACAACAGAGCCTGGTGTAGTGCATTTCAAGGTGGAGACGCTGCAGTGTCGGGTAGGTCTGAATCCGCAGCACCTGCAGTCACTTCATATAAAGGTTTCTCCACTACCTGACCACAAGGAGCAATGGACAGTTGAAGAAATGCAGGTCAGTTTTATTTGTACCCGTGTGTGTGTGTTTTATGTTCTGCTCGTGTAATGTGTTAGTAAAAACAATTCAGTCAGTTTGGAAAATTAAACATTTTGATGTTTATGTATATAGATCCCATAAGAAGGTGTGGCATTTTGTAATATGTGATCAGAGCTAATGTAAGATTCCTCAGACTCATAATGAAATGAATAAACTCATAAAATTAATAAATGAATATGCAAATAAGGGGTTACAATTTCAGTATGTAAATAAAAAAGAGTGTCATTTTGCAGGTGAGAACCCATAAAAAATAAAATTAACAAATAAACCAATCAACCACATGGATAAAGGAATTGAGGACAATCTTTGTAGAGACTTAAGGGTTGACAGGTCAAGTCAACAAGTGGCCTAAGTCCTTGACTACTAGATGATGATGATTTTAGCTATATGGAGTCTACAGCAACACACTGATTATTTGAATGAAATTTTTGTTTTCTTGTTGTTAGTACATTTTCAGAGTAGTTTTTTTATAGAGAGTAAATATTGATAGTAATAGTGTTTTCTTTTGTGTGTGAATTTTAGTGAAAGAAGGGATGGTGTGAGCATATTTTCAAGATTATAAATTTTGATTTCCTGTTTGTTTCAGATTATTGAGAAGTTCTTTGACACTCGAGCAGCTGCTCCTCCTTACAAACCTAATGCTTTATCAGGTTTTGGGAGGATGTTAAATGTTCCGTACAATGTTCTTAAAGACTTTGTACAAATCATGAAACTTGAATTGGTAGGTGAATGTGTGGTGATGTATTTAGATTTTAATTTTAATTTTAAAAAATGCTAAAATATGAAAATATAATGTATCATGATAAAAATTAAATAGGGATTGAATTTTTATTTTAGTGTTCTGTATGTACGGCATACAATTTAGAACACTTAGTCTGTACAAAATATCTTTCAGAAGTTTCGGTGTTGAATAAGTTAAACATTTAGAGTGAAAATTCACAAGTGCAGGTGCATTGTCATTTTAACAGACTCTTGTGTTCATTTCAAACATTTGGAATTTGTGTGCGCGTGCTTGCACATGTGGAAAAAATGAAAATGTTATGTAAGTCTATGGGTGTTGTACTAGGCACTAGCAGTTACTCGGTTACTGTGTGTGGATAAATTGGTCATATTTTTTAAGATGGCTGTCAGTGTTTCACAATACTCACTACCTCCGTCATCAAGTTAACAAGTCGGTGTGTGTGAGTAATTGGTTTGAGGTATAGGAACTAGTCAATGAAGGCAAAACCTTGGCTGGATCAGATGGGAATGAGATGAGCATCAGGAGAAGTCAAGGGATCCAGTAGGAGAGGGGGCATACCGCAGCGTAGCGCAACAACCCACAAGATATCCATTTTAATATTCCCCATTATGAGAATCTCATATTCTGTTAATAGATTTCTCATTTTGTAATTGTAACAGATCTCATTTTTGCGACTGCTTAATGGCAATTTCGGGCGTTATTTAACGCGATGTCTTCTCTTTGTTAGATTCCAGGTCTGGTGCAGCAGCAGCAGATGAAATGGGCTGTGCAGTGGAGCTTGCGGACTCCACCCTCTGCCACACCTATTGTGCCAACTGGAATGGCAGCGGTGCTAGTTTGTAGGACCAAGATCCTTGTTTTTGTAAGTTCAACTGCTCTCATTGTACGTCACTAACTTGGCCTGGTGCTGGAATATCATTAAATGAGAGTTTAAATATTGGTATGCTTTTAAATGTTGAATATTCATTCTGTTTATCCACTCGGTCAGCTTCATTTGATAATGTTAGTAATCTTTAAACCCTGGAAACTTGAATTTTATGTTTGTTGATTACTGTTAGCATTTAGAATAATTATATTTGCTGTTCCTATAATTTTTGCATGATTTGTTAACTTTTGTCTGAACGTGAGAGTTGGTTGTGCCTAATGGTTACATGATTTTAAACATTTTACACAGCTCCAGATTACTCGTATTGGAGGCCCATACCAATCCACCATTGAGCCACCATCACTGGTTCTGCCATTGGTGTACGATGTGAGTACGAACCTCACGCAGTTGGCAGAGAAGCGAGATCCTGGTCCAGCCTCGGCCACAACTGCAGCCAGCCTTCAGCTGAAGAGGTTTGCTGAATTTGGAGTCAGCCACAATGAATGCTCGCTGTTTCCTGCTGTAAGGGACTTGTTATGCAGCCTCAGCCTTCCATCAGAATCTCAAGCGCAGGTGCGACTAGTGAATAATTGGATTTGAGGTTATTATGGTGGCTGTCTTCACATGGCACCACAACGCAGAAGACACCCATCTTTAAGATTAGTGATGTTAGACAGCAAATACAAACAAGAGAGTTGTTTGACCATATAAATTAAGTCTGCTGTTGCTGAACACATTTAGGTGACATTTAATTCTGGCAGCCATCTCCATTTTGGTTTGCGTTGAACAAATATCTTTGAAAATGAAGATGTCGAATATATTACTACGAGGGAGGTTCAGCTGAGGGAAGGAAGATAAAAGAGTACAGAAAGAGTGAATGCGGTTACGAGATGAGTGCTTATGGGAGGTCAGAGAAGAATGAAATGTCGTTGATCACTGTCACCTTTGAACATAATGACATTTTGTCGGCCATGTCATAGACATGGACCAAAATTGAGACTCACTTGACCAGAGTAGTTTTGTCCTTCAATCATTCATGTGAAGGCCGAAGTAGAAACAACAGAAATGTTTTTCTAATTAAAAAACATGTAGATGATGGATGACGTCAAACAGAATAATTATACATATTGTGTCACACTCTCGTCAGAAACCTTCAGATTTCACTTGTTTTTCCTTGACTCTACAATCCCCCTTGTGGGTTTACGCCGCCTCCTTTTCAGAGGTTTCTTGGTCTTTGAAGCGTGCTTTTGAGAGTAGTGAGTGGCCAGCCCACTGACTGCACAATTTCTACTCAATCCTCGTTTGACTGCCAGAGCCATCTAGCAGTAAATCAGGAGACTTGGGTGAGAAATGGCCGCTGAATTTTGCTTACGAAACATCATCTCGTTCATGCTCGTAAGGTTCTTTTACATACCGTAAATCTACGACATGGGACCGCTAGCTTTACTTCCAATCTGAAGGAAGTTGTGCTATGGATTTTTATCACCCTTAAAAATCCATCGACTTTGGCCAGTATTGAACCTGCGAACCTTGGGTCCGGTGGCGAGCACGCTAACCACTAGTCCACCGAGGGCAACTTAAATTTCACTTATTTATTTTTAATTTATGTCAGTTTTTGCTTTTTAAAGTCTGAGCTCAGCAATGATTATATGACATACTCATCTCAGGCATTGAACATTCTGGACATCAAAATACTTTTGGGCTCCTAGTCTGAGGAAAAATTTATCATGCCCTGCTTTATTGCAATAACCGAACACATTTCTATACTAACCTAAAAAGTAATTGGTATTATTCATGATTTTTGTGCGTTAAAACTACCACTGCCTCACGGGATCAGAAGTATGTAGTGACAGAACCACGTTTTTATAGACTTTTAAATTTTGTGTGTGAGTTAATGCTAATAATTATAGGTGGCTTCTTCTCCTGCTCCCCCAACCATGCAGCCTTCTCCTGCAATGCAGATGCATTCACCAATGCCTGGAGGTGTGGTAGGAATGCCACCCCAGACGGGCGCAGGGGGTCCACCTCAGCAACCTAGCGGCCCACCGCAGTCTCCATATCCTGTTGGCATCACAATGGGTCAGCATCCAATGATGGGTCCTCAATGATATATTTATGATGCAAGTGCAGTGAAAAGTAATTAGGTGTGGACATATATTTGCTGTTAGTAAATTGTACATAGAGAGGCCACTTCATAGAACGGGCATCTCATCGCACAGGCTCGGGCACTGGGACAGGTTTTTCTTTGAGTCCTTCATTTTTCCCATCGATATCATTCTCCTATTGCTCCATATTCTCATGCATATTATCTGTGTCATGGACATGGGCCCATTCATTAGTGGTTATAATTTAACAGAAATTTAGTCTTGCCCCATCTTAACAATAAAAAATTATATATGGTGTCTTCACCAAGTTCCAGGACAAGATAATATTGAATGTGGTGGCACTAATAGGTCCTTCGATGCAGTTACTATCAGAAGACGTATTTCTGACAGCATTTATGCAGTTTGGAACATTTCTGAGAACATCCACATTTGACTACAGTGCGATCTTCAAACCCACTAGAACTCAGCTGCGTCCCTGAAGAGACAACCGTTAATTCACGGTAAGAGTTAAATAGTGCAAGACCGGGAGAATAACAGTGGGCTGCACTAGCGGAGACTTATGTGCTGGGGCTTTATTGTGCAGTAGAACCCAGTCTTTGCATTTCAGGGTACTGCAGTCAAACGGTCTCTCGTTGTACCTTTCCTTGTCGATTCTAATGGTCTGTACAGCCACATACATACTTCATCTCGTAAACCATCTGATAGATTTGATTAATATTTTAAATCTGTGCCGTAAGATGTTGACAACATCTAATTTTGGTTTCTTAGAACTTCAGATACTGTACACAAGGATAAAGGAATTTATTCTTTATTTTGTTACAAGAGAAATTTCAAATTAGATCTTCATAAGGTACGTACTAGAAATTTTTGTATGATGAAGTGTTTTTTTAAACATTACACAACTGTATTTGAGCACAGAAAATGCTGATATTTTATCATTTCATCTTTCCTCCTACTATAAATATACATCTCTTTCCTTGTCTTAAAATTTTTATAATGGCAACATTTTGCATTCTGAAGGATGAACATCACATTTACATGTTAATATGTAACTACATGTCTCAATAATGTTGAATACCTTTTATTGGATTGCTATTTTTCAAATGTCTGATCACCAGTGTATGATTGGATTTCAGTTCTCAGTATCTTATTTCCGTTAAATACATCTGTGTAACAGTGTTCTTATCACTTCAGCTAATTGCTGAGTTTGAATAGATGCTTTTTAGCCACATGTTTTTGTTGTGATTTGTCCATTGAAACCCCTAGAAATGGTGGAATCTCCCTCTACTGCCTTTAGAGTCTATTTGACCAATCAGTACACTGAACTTATTTTTCTCCAGTGATGGCTCATTAACAGCATTTCTTTGTGCCTACTGTATTCTGAATCACTTATTGATGTCTTGGTATCTTCTAAGAAACTTCTCTGTTTCTATTTATTAAAAATGTGTAAACAATTGACATGTGACCCTGACAAATAGCTGTACTTTGATTTTTCGAAAATTTTGAAGATATTTTTAAAAATTTCCCTGCCGAAACCAGTGTCTGCGGGACCCTTCTGCCACATCCAGGCTCTGCCTGACTCGGTCTGTGCCTCAGCTGGTCTTCCTCTCTATTTCACCCGGTCTTCGCATATTCGGCCCGACAGAGTCCATGTCATACAGTGACAGGATCAGGCAGAGAACGAGTCCGTCAGAGGCAGGGTACAGCAGAGACTGGTTCTGGCACGGATCGGGTGGGGAGAATTTTCAAAAAAAACATTTACTTCTCGTAATTGCGTACAGCAACACACTTCTTAGTGATGTCCATTTCATGTAAATTAATTTCATTAAATTACTCTCATACAGTCTCGACTCACAACCGATGTGTATTTTGCTTAACATTGTACTTAATACGTTCGAAGAAAGAACAGAATCAGTTTCTGACCGAACGTTCTGATCCAAGATCGTTAAACCTCTGTACCTCATTTATGGACTAACAATGTTGGTAGCATTGATAAGTGCCATGAACACCAACATTAACACATTCCTTTATGGATGACCAAAGCTGTAGATGGATATTTGAATTGATGGACACAACCATTCAAGGATTATAGCATTTTTCTACAGAAACAGGTACACAAAATGTGGAAGGGGGAACTTTTTACCGAAATATCAATATATTTGTTAGTGGCAAGCAATAAGTCAGGTTAATATACTTTGGTTTCAGAGAGTCCAAGCCCAACTACGAAACTCGTAAATAGATTCATTGTAAAGTACAGAGCTATTGAGTGTGAAAGGATTTATTACATGTAAGATTCCATTGTGACGGTCCAATTGTCTTGGACTACCTGTATCCGGGGGTAGAATAGAATAGAATTTATTTACATTCCATAGATCCTTCATAGGCCTAAAGAACAGGTCATAGCACAAATACAATACTTGTTTGTAGGTGGAAGATTGTTGAATAACTGAATTCCAGGTAGTAAACTCCTTTTTCATATTTACTGAGGTTAGAATTTGGTACATGAAGATTGTATCTGTATCTTGTTCTTATATTGTGGATATCTGAATTTGTTTGAAATTTTTCCATGTTATCCACTACAAATCGTAACAGTGAGAGCAAGTATTCGCTGGAAAGTGGAAGAATATTAAACTTCTTAAATAATTCTCTCCTTTTAGTGCCTGCTATTAGTATAATGATCCTTTTTTGAATTTTAAATACTTTGCTGCTGTCTGTTAATTTCCCCAGAAAATGATTCAATATGATATGATGGAATGGAAGTAAGCAAAATAAATTAATTTTAAGGTTTCTGTTTTTGTGAGTGCTGCATCTGCCCTCATAGCGAAACATTCTGAGCTTAGTTTAGGGATAATGTATTGAATATGTGTTTTCCAGTTTAATTTGTTGTCAATTTGTAGGCCAAGAAATTTAGTTGTTCTATTTCCTTGATTATTTCATCATCATACCTATATTTAGATTTACACAAGTCCTGTTATTAGTACAGAATTTCTTGAAATTTGTCTTCTCAAAATGTAATGTGAGGTTATTGGCTTTAATCCATTGGTTCAATCTAGCAAAGACATCATTTTTGCAATTTTGAAAACAGTCAATTTCTGGATGTGAAATAATAATAGTATCATCAGCAAAGAGTATAGGTTTAGAATGAGAATTGATGGTTGGGGGGCAGATCATTAATATAAACGAGAGAAAGCAGAGGACCAAGTATTGAACCTAGAGGCACTTCATGTTTTACAACACCCCATTTTGAGTAGGTGCTATTATTTGAATTTGATGATTTTTGTCATGAAGGTATGATTTGAACCACTTGCCAGCTATATTTCGAATTCCATAAAAATTTAGTTGTGATAGTAATAATTCATGGTTTATATAATCGAATGCTTTAGCAAGATCACAAGATATTCCACCAACCTGCACTTTATTATTTAGTGCACTTAGTAATTGATTCTTTATTTTCCAAATATCTGTTTCTCATATCCCATCACTGAAGGCTACAATATTGATTTCAGTACGCGCTGTCCAAAATGTTGAACACATTATTAGGAATGAGTACCTGTAAAAAATTAGGAATGCAATTTGTGTTCATAATACATGTCTAACTCATACATTCTTTGAAAGAACTGGATGGCTTCATCCATGTAACCCAATAATTCAAATTTAATTCCACAAACTGACACCAGTGCGCATTTTTTATGTAATTTTACTGGTTTATGTGAAAGTTTATGTAATTTTTACATTCAAGGATTCATATATTCTTTCAAATTTAAAATTATTGTTTATATTACATACTATTCCTAAATACTCCGTCACAGAAAAGGTGAAGTTTATTTATGGAAATAACGGTTGTCTGAATTCAATTTTTTTAATTGGTAATCATTTTCCAAAATTAATAGCTTAATTTTCGCCAAAGATGGCGGATTTGTGGGGTTGGGTGTGTGACCTTGGTTATTTAGAATTAAAAAATATCGTATTGTAATGTCTCTAGTTTCAGTTATAAGTTTGTAAAGTGTTACAAAAGAATTTAAGGTAAGGGAGGAGTGATATTTTTTTCTTGTACTCGCAGACAGGAGTTATCGAATATGGCTTCGGTTCTTAACGTCTTATGAGTTGTCCTCTTTATTGACAGAGTTCGATGGTAAGCCATGCCTCATGGCTCGGAGTGACCTATCTCCCCCATCTCCGCGATCTTTGGAGCCACAGGCTTCGATGCCCTTACGAGGCAGTGCGGCGGGTAGTCTGTGTGTGTTCGCCGCGCAGAATACTTCCCCGGAGAGTGGCTGAAGACAAAATTTTGCTGCCTGTTGTGAGCTAGGTCTGATCTTGCGTTTTGTTCTGTATTTGTCGAAAGTTGCTGGTCGGTATCCCAGCCGGAAGCCTGAGCAGAGTGAGTTTTGTTTGACTTCATTTATACTTTTAATATATTTTGATCATTTGGAACTGCCTTTATATTATTTTGGGTTTAACGTCTGTAATCCTACGGCCGTACCACGTCTCGGTCTCTGGGTGTTATTTCAATCTAATTTCACGATCGCCGGTAGCAGAGCGTGGTTGCGGGAATTTTTTTGGGGGGGGGGCCTTGTGACCGCTCCTGATTTGTCTTTTGCTATTTCTATTTTTATTCTTTACGATTCAAAAGTTATTATTATTGAATTGGTGAACTTGCTGTTGGGGCTCTGTGTGGCACAGCTAGGTTTAGTGGCCTGCCGACCTTGCCTGCGTCAGCTGTTGTTTATCCTTGACCGAGCTAGGAGACAAGCTTGTCAGGTGGGGCGTTGAATGCGTCCTTACAGTAGGTTGGTGTTGACATTTTGTAGGATTATCTTGAAGTTTTACGGAGGTGATTTTGTTTTGTTTTTTCTCGGTGTTCCTTTGTTTGGTTATTGGTCTTCTCTTCTTTATCTGTTCATTTTACTCTCTCATAGCTCTGACTGTCTGTTGGGGTCTACGACCTGTGCAAGGAGGACCTAGTGAAGCTGTGCGAGAAGTTTCGGGTAGATGCGACGGGTCCGCTGTTCGAACTTCGTGGCTTTTTTGAGAACACAACAGGAACAGGAAATTTCGCCTATTCACGATTCCGGTTGACGTTAAATTGGCCGAGGTTCAAACCGGTGATGTCCCTTCGGCTGATGAGCTAATACCCTTAGAGAATTCTACTCGTCCTGACAAAATGGGTAAAGGGGTTCCTTCGAATCCTCCTGGAACGCCCTCCATCTACAGCCCTCACGTGCACGTGGTGTTAGGATTGGTTAAGTCCATGGAATTATATTATTGAAATTATTTGTTGATTAAAAGTGTTGTAGCACATTAAAAAAAGTTTAGGAAAAATCCTGTATTGGCATTAATTGTCAGCTGTGAACAGTGCATAGTTTTCATTCCAGTTTCAACAGGTCTCCGAAAGCATTATTGACCTTTCTGATGAAGGCCAACTCGTTGGTTAAATTGGGCCTAGTCAGGGAAGACGAAGTCCTTTTCGCTCTCCTTCCTAAAACAGTAGGGAGGGTAATGCAAACGATGGGCAATTGTTTGAGGTTTAATCTCGCGTGGGTTCAAACCCGACTGAGGCTCGTGGAGGAGTTTCTGCCATCTCATTTGTTAGAGGACCTTAAGGTAGAATTCGTCACTCATCGATATCAGTCTGTCGGTGAAAGCTTTTTTGGAAATTGTAGACTGACAACTGCAATGAAGAACTGTCTACAAAAACGTGTGTACTAATCTTCGTTATCTCGGAAGTTGATGCTACGACTTCCTAAAGTCTTTCCCTGCCTCATCTTACATCGAACACTCGCTGTTACCAGTTACATCTGATTATAAGGATGACTTCTGAGAGGGCATACATCGCATTGTGGCGTCTCTTCATTTGAGACCAACGTGTATGGTCAGTTCGAAGGCAGACTGGATGTCACCTTCGATCTGATGCACAATTAAATTATCTGAGGTCCCGGCATCTGCACTACGACAACCCAGCCCAGGGAGGAGTTCTGGAGGGGAAGGATGAGCCATGCCTCATGGCTCGGAGTGACCTATCTCCCCCATCCCCGCGATCTTTGGAGCCACAGACTTCGATGCCCTTATGAGGCAGTGCGGTGGGTAGTCTGTGTGTGTCCGCCGCGCAGGTTACTTCGCCGGAGAGCGAGAGAGAGTGCCTGAAGACAAAATTTTCCTGCCTGTTTTGAGCTAGGTCTGATCTTGCGTTTTGTTCTGTATTTGTCGAAAGTTGCTGGTCGGTATCCCAGCCGGAAGCCTGAGCAGAGTGAGTTTTGTTTGACTTCATCCTGTATGGTCTTTTTTATTTATACAGTATGTCCACAAAGTCCCTTCGGGGTTTTGAAAAATTGTTCTTCAGGTCAAGTCCGTTGACTGGTGTTCGGAACACATGCTCTTGACACAACCCCACAGGAAAAAATCCAGTGGTGTTATGTCTGGTGAACGTGGAGGCCAAGGCATTGGACTGTCTCTGCAGATCCATCTTCTTGGAAATGTCCTGTCTAGGTACATGCGTACCTGCAGACCCCAATGAGGTGGAGCACCATCTTCCAGAGTTTCACTGTAATCTGCCGCAAACCGCATGTGGCTAGCTCAATTTGTTTGCGCGCCACAATTTTTCAAAACCCCGAAGGGACTTTGTGGAGACATGGTGTTCAATTTTGATTTGTACTCGTATACTGTCTCTACTAGACGACTGTTATAGTTTCACCTGTTTGGCGCGACTTTCGGAAACCTCTTTTTCACTTCTTGATCCAAATAATGAGTCCTTTTAGAAGATGTAGAGAAAAAGGAAGAGAAGCCGTCAAGTGTTTTGAAAAACGCATTGCACTCTTTAATACTGGAAACAGCCTGTGACAGTACAAGATTACACGAATGTGCCACACAATGTATGAAACGTGTCTCTCACTTTAGCTTGTGGCCCATTAAGTTCACCTGGCATGACCGCCACCCCATTATATGTTTGCGCCACTATTTTTCTGCCAAAGCCATACTGAAATACACAGTCTATAACGCGTTCGGCTATCGCCGAAGCAGTTCGATCAGCACTCATATTCGAAAACCCTAAAAATCGTTCTTGTATTTCACCACCACTAGTTGCATATCTTAATACGATTGTGAGCTGTGATTGACTTCGAATGTCAGTCGTCTCGTCAACCATCAGAACAACAAAAGGGGCAGAGTTTAATTCTCTTTTTATTTCTGTTAGAATTGCGTTACTCATCGAGTCAATAAGGTCGTATTGTATTCTGTTCGATAAAGCTGTAAATACATCTGCTATCGACTTGAAAACCCTACCACAATATTTTACATTTTCCAGGTAAAAATTGTCAAATTGTCAGACATGAGCTGCTAGAGTCGCAAATTTAAAATAGTATGTAACCCTAAGCAATTTGTGCACATTTCAATAAAATTTACATTTGAGAATACCAACTATTATAATTCCTGCATAAGTATTGTTAAAGAAAATTTCAAAAAGTGTTTCTTGGCCCCAAGGGAAGTACTAAAAAGTAGGTCAACCCCACTGTAGAGGTATAGAGTAGGCATGTCAAAGTCATATTTCAGAATGACTCCGAGGCCCTGCACTTCTGAAACTATAAATGTTGTGTGGCCCTAAATGTCCCAATTTAAATAAATTTCAAATGTATGTCAAGCAACTACTTATGTACTGTTGTTTTATGTTCTAATTAAAGTGGAAATGTGTCTGATTCATATTTGTACACGCTTGTGTGAAAGTAAGGAATAAAAAACAAATCTTTAGTCCAAATTTGAAATTATTAAGAGTAGATACTTACGGTTTTCTGTACATGTGTGATGGCCTCAGAAAGTCACCTCAGTTGACACATAACTAGCCACGTAGAACAAAGATTGTTCACTCATGCACATTTGTGCGTATTTTCATAATATCGCTTACGTTTCCGTGGTATTTGGGACAGAAATAATGAACACTTTACTCTGTTAGCATTTTAAAATGAATTTGGAAATTACAACACTCCATTTCTATTTAGAAAACCAATTTTGGGGGGGAAAAAAATCACTTCACGATATTTACAGATTATATATTACATTGGTTGGAACAATCTTTTCCCCCCACCCCTTAGACCAGCTCTGGCAGCAGAACATCTTGATATTAGTAAGATTTGAGATTCTCATGACACTGATGATAGCAGCAGCAAATACTTCTGAAACGGTACCCTTCTACCAGTCTACATGGCACAACGTAGAAGATAGCCGTCTTTAGCTTAATCTTAAGCAAAGAATTTCACTATTGTGAATTGATACATCACTTGCAAAGGGCTCCGATATAAAATGTCTAAAGGAAAATATATGTAAAATTGTAACAGCTCAGATGGAGATTTTGCTCAGTAAAATACAATGTTGAAAATTTTTCAAAGAGGTAATAATATTAATAATGAAGATGTCTGCACATTCTGTAATCCAATTAAAATACTTTCTAATATATCTACTGTGTTTTCCTTTTATTAAGTACCAAACTTTTGTGGTAACTCAATCCATTTGATGTCAGGTGACAACAGAATATCATCTCGTATCATTTCATCGAACAGTTTCACCTAAAGATAAAGATGAAGAATTAGATCTTGTAGTCCATAATTTCATACACAATCATTTCTGCATAACAGAATTCATCCTTATTAAAAGACAGAAGACTCAAATAATGTGATACAAACGTGGAAAATTATTTAATCTTTTTATATGTATATAAAATTAGAAGAATGTGAACTTTTAATTTTTTTTTGCAGCTGTTTAAGCCCACAAAAATCAACGTATCATTCAAGTTAGTATGATTATTTCTTATACGTAATTTTACGTCGCCTAAAAACATACATTTCCGGAAATATTTTAAGATACATAAACAAACCTGAATAATTTGTCTAAAGAAATTTTATTCAAAGAATGAACAAATGAATATTTCACATATCCGCGCAGCCTGTTATCGGTATGTTTAGCTAAGCAACGTGTACATCCATGGGTTCATACTTCTACGTATAATTTCTTCTCCAAATTACTCCTAGTCATCTTTTTTCTCTCATACTTACGTCCACATTCTGTCTCTCAATATCCACAAACCTTCTACTAACTTCTCTCCACACATTTATTTGTTATTCTCTTCCCCATTTTTCAAATATGCCTCATACTGAGTCTATGTCCTGTTTTATTTTATTCAGCTAAATGTTCCCTTTCTCTGTACTTTGTTGTTATACGCAGGGCAGTCAAAAAGTTCCCGGAATTGTGGTATAGCACTGTAATGGTAGGACATATGGCAACGCTTACCTAATCACCTTCAAAGTAGGACCCTTGCGCGCACACATACTTGCTCCACCGATCCTGCCATTGTTTGAAGCACCGGCGGAAGGCTTCGTTTGGAATCTTCCAGAGTTTGGCCGTCGCATTCGATTTGATGTCCTCCGTGGTTGCGAAACGCGTCC